GTCATTTGTTTGACACTCAACAATCCTTGGCAACAAAGAGTATAATAGTATATGGGAACTTGATTCGTAAGTAATTTCTTAAATGTTTGTAGTTTCTAATTTTTTACAATATATTCTATCTGAATTAGCTACAGTTTATACACAAAATTGACGTCCATATTGAGTAACTAAGTAAAAAAAAATACCTAACACAAATAACCCCAACAAATTCTGACCTTTCAAATCAAAATGTCAAAAAACGTAAACAAATATTCGTTTTACCACGATTTTTGATTTTAGGCTTAAAATAGTTCGAGAAAATGGATAACTACAAGTTAAAAATCAATAATATACTCCATGACACGCAATATTGTGGAATATGTTTTGAAAATGATACTATAAGTAGAAATGCGATAGATGAAGATTTCGAAATTAAAGTAAATCAACAAACTCAGATAAAATCTTTGGGAACTATTGTAGAAACTGTGTTTAGGGAGGTAAGTTTGATAGTATTATTTGTTATTCTATATTAATGTCTTGTATAAAGAATTGAGTCAGAGTAACTGACCTAGATCAGTTTTTTTTCATTATTGGAATTGAAACAATACCTCTTAGAACACTAAACTATTTTGTATATTTTACATTCATCTTATTATAAGTTTCGGAGCTTAATATTCTTTCTTATTTCAGACAGAGGTAGAGGCCATATCAGCAGGTTCATTCATATGCAACAACTGTACAGAAAAACTAGTTGAAGCATATATTTTTATTGAAAATGCAAAAGAAACATTCAAGATAATTAGCAAGTATATTAATGATCTGTTTAACAAATCAAATGATATTTTAAGCCATATTTCAGACTTTCATAATGAAAATACAAATATTGTCATTGTATTAGAAAATAATGCTGACAATGCCATAAAAGAAACAGAAATAGATTCCGCCATAAAGAAAGATGAAGTTGAAATAAAAGAAGTAATAGCACCAGAGACAATTTGTCCAAATTCAAATGTGCTAACTGCTTTTTAGTGCTACCTTCTTTTAAATCATTAAAATTACATAAAGAAGAATGTGGGAAACAGACATCTTGCAAATCATGCTCTAAGGACATTTCAGAATAAGAAATTACTAGTAACACATAACGAAATGCACTCAAAAATCAGATGCAAGTTTTGTCATGAAATCCTAAAAGTGAGTCAGCTAATGGACCATTTGAGTGCTAATCATAGAGAATCTTTACACAAATGTCTTACATGTAATGAAGTATTTTACACCATAAGAACTTTACAAAGTCATCAACAAAGTTGTGAGTTTAACAAAGAAAGCCAATGCTTAATGTGTTTAAGAACTTTTGATGAACAAGAACTAAGTTCCCATACTTGTAAGTTCCGCTGTACCGAGTGCTCTGAGGTGCCCTGTATACATTATAAGTACTTGGTTTCTTTTAGAGAACAGATTTTTAAAAATACTGGCGAAGTCAAATGTTGCATTGTGGGTATGTTTGTAGAAAAAAAGAGACTTTACTTGGCCATGTGAATAGAAAACATTTAAACCACCATCCGTTTATTTGTGATCAATGTGGACAGCAGTTTCATTCGAAAATGGCCCTTATTCTCACATACAAAGGTTGCATGAAGAGTACTTTGTTTGTCAGTTTTGTGATTCAGAGTTCTCTAATCAAGGAATTTATAAAGCTCATCTGAAATCGTGTGAAAGTACAAAAAGAGGTTTTGCTTGTGACATGTGTCCGGCCTCTTTTGATCTTTTTGAAAGTGTATCGGAGCATAAAAAGCGTAGACATAGTACGGAGATTTTTCCCTGTGATATTTGTAATAAACAGTTTGTTAGAGAATCGAAAAGAAATGAGCATATGGTTAAGGTCCACAGCAATCTTCAGATGAAGAATGAATTAAATAATATAGACTGTGTTGTGTGCCTAAGAAAATTTTATTCTAAAGTAGAATTAGTCCGTCATATGAAATCTCATGGGCCAAACACTATATATCCATGCAGGATATGCAACACAGAGTATGACACTCTGAGACAGTTTAGAGCTCATAATCGCATACACAAGGGACCATTCACAACATGCCATATATGTGGTAAAGAAATGAGGGAGATTCTGTTAAAAAAACACCTACTAACACACTCAGATACTATAGAAACCTGCAACACCTGTGGTAGGTCGTTTGAAAACATCACTACTAAAATACCACCAAAGATCCATTTGGAAAGTGTACCTTGTCTCAAATGTAAGAAGCTGGTCAATCCGGCCAGTTTACGAAGACATTGGAAGAGACATTTGATTCAAGAGAATCCTAGTCTAAAAAGAATTGAGAAAAAGCAACCGAATTTGAAATGTGAACAGTGTGACTATAAGACGTGGAATAACACTCTTCTGGACTGCCACATGAACCGACATCACCTCAAAGTGAAGCCATACGTGTGCCATATATGCAGTAAAGACTTCATCGGTAAACATTTGCTCAAGAAACATATAGAAACACATGATATGAAGAGTGTGACCTGCATGGTGTGTCTCAAAAGTTTTGCCAACTCAATCTGTTTGAAAATGCATTTACGTCTGCATACAGGAGAGAAACCGTTTACTTGTGAGATTTGTGGTGACCGGTTCAGGTCTTCGAGTATTATGAATGTGCATAAGCTTAAGAAGCACTCAGATAAGAACAATTTTTGTCCGTTATGTTCAAATAAGTTTCATACTGTTAGGGAATTGAGAAGACATGTGATCAAAGTGCATTGGAAGCAGAAAAATAAGAGATTTGACCCTCGAGAGGTAGTAGGGTTGAATAAAGAGCATTATCACTTGTTTCACGACGGAAGAAGAGTTAAAGTTGCTGAGGAAGATATTGATTTTTATATGCCTTGTTGATGCAATATAGTATGTTCCAAGTGTATGTTTTTTTTTCTATGCCACCGAGGTGGCTGTCGTACCTACAAATGCATGCAATATCAGAGTGCAGAGGGGTCGCTTGTGTTATCGAGCCTTCAAAACGTTGGGTTTTAAGGGGAAGTTTCATGGACAGCGAAAGGAAAGAGGTGGGATTGGTACCTATGCGCTGTGCGGCATTTTTATTAGGTACATAATTCCTTTTAAATATTTCACAGCCATTTTTATAATAACTATCGTGAGACATACTAAATTGACTAAAATCTCGAGTTACTCACGTGAATATACTGAGAAAAGCTCTACTAGTTTCGAACCACAGAGGGGTTCTTCTTCAAGAGCAGCGTGCGCGGTCGCGGCGACGTCGCGTCGCTCACTGTAGAGCTTTTCTCGGTATATTGTAAGTCAAGTGAGTAACCCGCGATTTTAGTTAATTTCACATCCGGCTTAGGTAGGGAAGTATAGGAAATTTTAGCTTTACCTTTTAGTAACCGGTCCATAGTCGTCCGCGGCTGGTTTTGCAGCTTTTTTTTTTGTTGATTTTTCAATCATAGTGTTCAGTAATACGCAAAATCTAAAAAAAACATTCCTGATACTTGGGCGCAAGTGTAGCTAGAACAGGGGTAGTATAAGTCCAAGGTAATATGAATCCAAGACAATAAAAGTCTTCAACCAGACTGGAGAAAGCGCAATAATAAAACGTAGATCCATGTAAATATAATCATATATTTATTTATATAATATCTTACATCTATTACAATATTGTAGCTGCTGTATCATATAGACACCTATTGCTAACATAATAATAAACATTACCTAATGCATTTGATATTATGAACATCAATTCTAAAATTAATAGTAATAAAGACTATTTTTGTATGTACCGACATTTGCGCAAAACACGAAACTTTAGCGCATATTTGCGCAAATATATCTTAGAAGATTTCATTGTTCAAAAGGGTCCTAATATCAAATGATTTAGATTATATTAAAATTCAAAAGATATATTAATTAATGTTTTGGAAACGTACTAAAACTTAATTTATAATGGTAAACAATCTACTGCTAGTCGGCTGCGATTAGTACCTTTGAATATATATGCTACGCGAATTATGTATTTCATATATTTATGTACAAGTCAGACAACTTATTATGCTCTATTGTAGTCAGACCGAGAAATGAAAAAGTAACCACAGATTTGATTGCCTTATTTTCTATGAAGGCAGAGCTGCAAAATGTAATTTGTAATGCCTAAGTAAAGGGAATCATATGATCTTGACTTCAATTTAATTGATTTCGTGATCTGACTCGCAAATGTGTCATTTAATTATATTATCAATCATTTCATGTACTCAACTACTGTCGAAACACAAATGAAAAATAACCGGATTGTCACTCTTCAGCAAAATACAGAATATGGAAATCATTGTCACTACATAAAAATAATTATGCTACTAAAATTGCAAGCCATACGGCTTCATAGCCCGCTATATTATATTATGATCTCTATTTACATGTGCTTTAAGTTCATACTTGGTAGGGAAAATAGATTTACAAATTCTACAGCAGAATCTACCGCCGTGGCTTAATCTCATGTGTTTTCTGACTTTGAAGGCCGAGTAGAAGTACTGCCCACATATTTGGCAGCCAAAAGGCTTCACTCCTATATGTTTCCTAACATGGATCACCAATTGCTTCCTACTCTTAAGAGTTTTGTTACAAAATTCGCAAATCTCCTTCGAAGGCATACTGTGCACTTTTTTATGACACTTCAAATTATTCTCCGTGTAAAACTGCCGATCACACATGTCACAACTATACGGTTTAATTTGCAAATGTATTTTATTCACATGAAGCGAAAGTTGATTATCGTTTGGACATTCTTTTTCACAGAAACTGCACGTTTGGGTGCGATTTCTAGTGAGAAGTTTCAGTTTGACAGAGTGTCTTTGAATGTGGCTTTCGTAATGGGCTTGTGTTGTGAACACTTTATTGCACAGCTCGCACGGCTTTATCCTATGTGTTTGTTCATGATCTTGCAACTTATCGATATCAGTGTAATTTCTACCGCAAACTTTACATGTCATAAAGAAGCTCTCTGGCGCCATATGCGCTACCTTCCTGTGCTCAAACAAAAGGAACTTAGACCTGTATACGTTACCACAAATCTTGCACTGTACCTTCTTATTCACATGTTTGACAACGTGTCTCTTTAAGAAATAATCCGATATGAAGTGTTTGTTACACAAAGGACAGGTATACTTAACAGGGACCTTTTTTACTTTTTTCCTTTTGTTGAACGTTAAAAATTCACTACACACGTCCACGGAGTATTTAGTGCTTTGATTCTGTATACCATTAACTAATTTCTTCTTCATATAAGTTTTAGTTGCGGTCCTAGCTAAATTGTCAATTGGTACTATTGGAATATTCACTGCGATATCATTCGCGGTATCTTTAGATTGCTCGCTTGTTTCAGGTATTATTTCAGGTTCAGTCTCACTTTCGCTTTCAGTTTTCAGTCGGAATTCGTCTTCTAAGACGTCTATTTTAAGTTTACTTTCGTCCACAAATTCGTTTTCTTCTATTAATTCGTCAAAATCTTCTATAGGAGCCATTATAGGCGGGGGTGAAACTTGTACGAAGATGTTGGCTGAAGGCTCTATTTTACTAAGGTCCCTCAACATAAGAGTAACACATAGATCTAACCGTTCCCTAGTGAAAAGAAATTGCTTTATAAAAACATATGAAGTGATAGCGTGATTAAGGCACTTTTCGCATATTTTTGTCCCAATGAAGTTGTGTAGGTAGTTCATCTGCAACAAAAAATTGTGTGTTAAATATGTAATTTTGAAAATTAGTTTTGTTTTGGGTTAGTATGAAAATTAGAACAAACCTGTTGCAGGGACAATAATAGACGATTTAGTGTTTGAGTTTGCTATCTTAGCGATAATTTAGAAGGTTCTAGTAATAATAGAACATTCTTTTTTTTTCATTTTACGTGTACAATGTCAATTTAACCGTTTTTCGGAACTTCTTTCCAATTGATTTATTCAATACCCTTTTAATTTTGTGCCTGTCTCACTAATGTTATCAATTTCTTTGGCTTTCTTCATAATTATCATCTAAATATAAATAACGCCTAAATAATTTCATAATACTGAATATTTTAAACTGAGATCATTCTTTTAACTTATCCATAATTATAATGATACGATTAAATATGACGTATTACATCTAATTCTATGACAATAAATAATGTGCGTCAATCTAATACAATTACGTATAAAGCTTACAATTCTATTTTTTTATTTATGAAATGCCTTTGGTATGGTCCTAACCGCTTTCTTGATTTTTCTGCCAGTTTTAGCACATTGTGTGGTTGTAGAACCAATATTGAACTGAATGTTGGTTCTAACAAATGGCCCAATGTTTGGAGCCAACATGTCCATTGGTATTGGGTTAAATGTTGGAATAAATGGCGTAGACAGTTCTTCAACTTCCATTTCTTCATTTATTGTGTTTGAAATATGTTTGTCCATCTCAATTTCTATATCCATGCTCTGGGTAGTGGTTATATTTTTATTATCAACAAATTGTAGTTGAATATTCTGTTGTAAAGCCACATTTTCTCTCTGTACTATAGATGGCTTTTCAACTTCTATAATTGGTTTCGGTTCTGGTTTTTCGGTCTCTTTCTTTTCAGGTTTCATTGGCAAAAAGGTTTTGTTATATCCAAATAAGATTTTGGTGTTGCCATTTTCGTTAAATCTTTTTGATTCACAGCAGACGCAAGTGAATCTGTCTCTGGTGTTATTTATCAGACAAACTTCACATTGCCACATATCTATTTTGTGTTGATTGGGTCTATTTTCTGGGTTTTCTTCTATCATTTTGTTTTTATCTATTGAAGTGATTATATTATTATTATCCATAGCATTGTATTCATTTTTCTTTGTAGCACTATGTCCTAAATCTCGCTGTTCTTCAATAGCTGTTTTAGGATTAATTTCATTCACCTTCTTGCAGTTTTCACATTTATTTGGTTTGAAAATCCAACAAATCTTGCACTTTTTAGTAGGGTTGTCTTTAGTTTCATTTATTTCGATATTTGTTAAAGTTTTGTATTCAGATGTTTTAGAAAATATCCAAGACAAATTATTCTTCACTTTTGGGATATTATCAGAATTTAAGGTTATTTCTTCAGTGTTAAGAATATTGCCTGGGTCTCCGGGGTTGCATCCAGTTTCTAAATTCCCACTATCATTAGCTTCCAAAATTATAGGATTTGCAAATTTAAACTGTGCTAGTTTTTTATAAGATTTCTTTTCCAATGTCTTATCAAAATATCTCGGATTATCGTTTTTAGCTTCTTGATTAGCATCTGTAGCCATTTCACTATCAATTTTATTGTTATTGTCATAAGATTCAAATTTGTCATTGGCATCCTCTGTAAAACTATCTACGGATTCTGTGTCATGACTTTCGATGCTAGAATCAGATTCTATTAACTCATAGAGATCATCATCACTCATTTTGTTCTTATTAGCATCTGTGCTCATCAATCCTTGATCTGATTCATTATCAGTTATTAATTCATTATCATTATCATTCAATTTATCCTTAATATTACTATTTTTGGCTTCATCATCAATTACCATTTTATTATTATTTTCATTCTGATTCCTGTTATCGTTTTTTACAGAATCATATTCATCTATTTCTACAATCTTTGGTTTTTTAGTTACATTAAGAGTAGAATCTTCTGGTTCACAGAAGACATAATAATAGAAATCGTCAGTTTTGAATTTGTTTCTGTAGACTATTTCAGGTAAAGATAGCTTGTAAGATATAGTTTCAATCTTAGTTTCAGGAATTTCATTATGTTTTCTTTTTCTTTTGGAAATAGTCATAATATTGGCTGTATGGGGCACATGCAGTTCTTGGTATTTGTATGATTTAGGCTAGAAAAGGAATCACTTCTTACAGATGGTACAAAACAAATTATAAGCACCAATCTACTGATATTTGTGTCATCTTGAAGCTTTTAATTACATTGTGATATATATTTTGATGCATTATTAATGAATTTAATATTAATTGACCATGAAGTACACAATGAATTAGATAGAAATGTTGTAAAGAACAAAATCATGCATTGATTAGTATGTTAGTTTTTGAAGTGTTAGAAAAGATAAATAAGGTATACTTACATCAGGTAAAGTTGACGATAACACAGTATACAGTGACTTATCACCAATCAACTCTGGACATGTTCCATGAATGGATACTTCATTATCCAAATTAACCAAATCAGTACTTTTCTTAAGGCAAACCAAGCATAGTTGGTCTGTTTTCCGTTCAACCATATACCGCATTACGGTTTTGAATTTATGCTTTTCTACGTGTTGTAGATGTTGTGCGTAATCATCTGTGACATTACCACATTCTTGGCATCGGAAACTCTTGTCTACCTGTGGACTGTCGTCCTGTCCTTTTACATGTATTAAGTTAAAATGCTTTTTTAACTGGGTTTGCTTAACAAAAGACTTGCCGCAGAGCCGACAATGATACCACATGGATTTAGGATGAGTTTTATCATGGTTCAACAATGATTCCATGTCTGGAAGGACTTGCCAGCACCGTTTGCATTCAAACTCATTCCAATCCGGTTCTTTACTCAAAGATTCAGTTTCTATGTTAATGATATGGTGTGCTGGTTCTGCATAATCCATACTTTTGCATTTTCGACATATAAAACATTGTAATTCGGATTTAGTTTTTGTCTGCCTCTCTTTTTCGGTCTGTCTATGGGATCTAACTTACTCAATTTCTCATCAATATCATCAAAACAATTTTTCAAGGCTCTTTCAGCTTGCTCACACTGCTGCGTAAAGAGATATGCATTGAGAGCTCGGTCTACACATTTCTGGCATATTTTTTCTGGATATTTTTCATCTTCATTAGCCTGGAACAGTTATTATTACAATTTAGTACACTTTGTAATAAATGCAGTATGAGCAGTTGAAAGCCTGCACTAATATAATAGTAATAAATTAAATATACAACACAACTGGGTCAAAAGTCAATGACCTACCTTATAGGGGTAGAAACTGGCTATCATTTGTCTCAGAGACACTTTGTACAGCACTCCTGTGCCAGCTACATGCATTATCTGATCCGGGTCAGACAACGCAGGCGATATTTTGAGGCAGTAACGACATACTTCTGTCTTTAATTTGCCACTCAACAAATATTCAACGGCAACCTTAGTTGTCAATGGTTCACCAGGATAGCACGGTTTTGGAGGCGGCTTAGGAGTCTCAGCCACATCCTCAGTCACTGATGGAGTCTTCAACAACTTCTTGAACGGCTTGGAATATGTTTTCTTAGCGTTGGAAGGGCATAATACCGGGAAAATATCGTCGTCCATTATTTAGGTTATGCGATGATTACTCGATTTCTGATTATTGTTAGACAATACTTCATAATAAAAGCGCAGCTAGATATATGAACACTGCAATGTTTTAAAATGTATAGGCTGTTTTATGTGGAATATACGAAGCAGAATTATTTTCGATGACACTCCAAGAAGTGCGAAAATGGCGGAAAGAGAAGAGCGTCGATGTCAACCAAGTGTCAGAGTGTTTTTTACGTTGTATGCATTATTTATTTGACGTCAAGAAAGACAATCATTAATCTGTAAGTTTTAATGAAACACTAAAAATCTTTTATTGTACAATTTATGTTTTGATATTATTTGCTGTTATAAATCACTACATTCACCACTACAAATATTTATTCATCCTATGATGATTTCGTGATGAATCTGCGTAAGCTGGAACGTTGGAAGAGGTTTGTTTTTGCAAAGGTGCTACATACGTGATTAAAAATATAAGAAAGTAATAAATAATCAAATCACCCAACATTACTAATTATATCAATAAAAAAATATTGTATATGGTGTAAATCATCACAGTATTTTTTATTTCAGTAGAAAACACTACTTTAAATTATCAACACATTAGTAGAAAACTACCATAACTGCTTACGGCAACACTGGGACTAAATTACAGAAACGTCAAAAATGGGACATTAAATTTTTCTGCTGTAGCTAATTTTTCCTGAAAAATAATCATTCACAAAAAAATCCGGATTCGTCATCATTGTGAGATTGAAATCCTGTGTTAAAAGGACTATTTTTGTGTTAAGTGCTACTCAGTGTGGACAGTTATGACCTGTTTTCATTTATGGTGTAAGGAATAGGGGCATCAATACTTTGCTAACAGTGAGTATAAAAAAGCTGAGACTTCGTCAAGGCTAGTTCTCGTAACTTAATTATTAATTATCTGTTTGGATGATATCACGATTAGTTCTTTGAACTCTATTTTCGTGATGTAATGTGAAATTTGAATGAATAATGGTTCCTTTGGATTTGTAAAGTTATTTTTAGATGTTAGAGTACGCAATTACAGCTGGGTTTGTTTGTGTAGTGTTTATAGTAGTTATTTAAATTTGGAACACTCAAAGGATTCTCTTTGATTGGTGGGTGAAGTGGTAGTCAAGTTTACTTCCTGTTGATTTATTTATAATTTATCTGTAAGTGTTGTTTCTTTTTTCTTTACTGTGTATTGCTTTAGTATTGCATATTTTACAGCAGAAATACAAAAGCTTTGTGTTTATAGTGAAGATAAGAGTGTAGTTTAGACAGCTTATTTTATTCTCTTATAGCTACAAATTATAATTGTCTTATTATTGTCCTCACAATTCCCAATGAATTATTAACCTTATTATTGTTAGCTGTAGATAAGAGAGTGAGAACTACTTTTAAGTTGATTTCTAGGTGTAGTTTAATTAACATTGCATCTCTGTAAAAAAAAGAACTAAAAACATACAGAACCATAAACCCAGTTCATTCAAGTAGGCCTTCTACATGAAGTACCTTTGTCACCAATAAAAAAATTAAAGATACCATAAACACAACTATGTTCACACACATCCTTACATAGAGACACAAAACAAATATATGCCTAACCATAATCTACTGTGTACATAATAGTACATAACTACTGACCATATAAATAAAGACACATGACATCCATTTTATAAATGACAAATTGTATATTGCTGTTATCTACATAGCTTATGTACTGCTGAAGACCTATTAGTATTGCTGTTAACTTGCTCCAAATTTTAGATTATTATAAAAATTATGAGTCTTTCTTTCAATTTAATATTATCCAAGTAGGTAAATAAGAATAAGCTAGCTATATGTTTAATTGATTTAGTGTCTTACACAAATATCTTTCCTTCATCATTTTGCCCACTAAATACTGGACATCTTTTATTCTAAATGCTTTGATAGTTAAGAAGATGAGTAAGCCACCAACACTATTTTTCATTGATCATCTTTCCCTAATTACTTACTTATTTCTTTTTAATTTGCTCTATTAAGTCTGTTTTCTGCCCTTCCTCAATACAATAATTATTATTGAATAGAAAAATAATTATTCAAGTGCCAATGTCAATATGAAGTCAGCTCTCATAATGAAAACAAATCATTTATTGCATGAATTCCTTAATAAACTACTTAACAGGTAAATTTTGTCAGTAAACATTCCTTTCTGTACTGTGAATTCTGATTAATAAAATTCCTGAAACTGTATTCCGTGCCGTCTTTACCATAAGAGCTTTCGGGGCCCGTGCCCATACTCAGGGGACTCCAATGGACCAACAATTTATATGATGCACACACCCTCTACATGTTGCCATTGATTCCCACTCGGAGCAAATCTTTGTATGCATCACAAATAGGGAGTTGTTTTGGGTTGGGGTTCAAAAAAAAAAACAATAAATATTTGAAAAGGCCCCTGAGTTTTTATTTGCCCCAGGGCCCCAGCGTAGTCTTAAGACGGCCCTGCCTGTGCTAGTACTTATAATAAAGAGGGAATTTAGGTAATATTGTTTCATTTACATTGAATAAGCAGCGAATTTACTGGCCCAATTTAGAAAACACAGAGTAAAAATGATTTATTTCTCATTATCTAACATAGACAACATTAAATACCTATAATTTTTTTTTTTAAATTAAAAATGGAAGCGTTTAATTCTTCGATAAACAATTAACTTAGTTACACATTAAAATTATCCTCATTTCAATTTATTCACTGTTATTATAAAGTTTAATAACTTGTGATAAATAGTGTTATTGTGTTATTTATAGCTTCAATAACTAGTTATTTAACATTCAGAATTATTTATGCATTCGCTTGAACATTGTTGGAGGAGCCATAGACCAAACAATTGTTATCTTAATCTATGCTAGTGTGACAAATTGCTAAGAAGAGTTTAGGTACCTAGGTATAGTTATTTAGACAATACAATGAGATTTATGCATAATGTATGTATGACCTATAGTAACGATGAGTGTAAAAATATGTTTTAATAATAACTATCGTGAGACATACTAAATTAACTGAAAATCGCAGAGTACTCACAGAAATACTGAGAAAACCTATACTAGTTCTCTTCCTCTTCCTCACGAGCAGCTCGCGCACGCTGCTCATTAGGACGAACCCCTCTGTGGCTCGAAACTAGTAAAGCTTTTCTCAGAATTTTCACGGTGAGAAACCAGCGATTTTTAGTAAAAATATAATTATGATCATTAATATTGTGTAAAAAAATTGTATGATAAGGGCACAGACCAAGAGTCTCTGGAGAGTTAATAATTAACATTGAAAAAAACATGTAGGATTTTGTATCTTTTCCTGACATTTCTGGAACTTTAATTAGGAAGTCTTAGGAAGAAGAATAAAAGAAAGGTATTAATCATCGAGTAGGTTGCATAAAAATTCTCGCGCGCAAAATCATCAGTAGGTACGTGCGTCATGTTATTTTGTAGTAGGTACTTAAAAGATATTTGTGGAAAGACATTTTAATTGATTTCTAAACCTACAAGTGTTACGGTTCAAATAAAATCATTTATAACTAGGTACAATGTAAATAAGGTGTTTCTGTGACTTTCCCGAATGCTTCCGTAGATTGACGAATTCGATCTATCAAAACCTTCCGTATGAAATGTGGTAGGCTTTTTTTTAAGGGGAGACAATCATCGAATGACTGCTCCCGCCTGGATGAGGCGTGAGGGAGTGTCAGACTCTTACTGACTAAAAACCACCCCGTTCCTTCTCCTGCACGTCGAGCCGGAGCCCCGGTAACCCGTTAGGTTCTCCGGGACAACTGTGGTAGGCTAACAGGTAATTTAGATACATAGGTAATTTTCTAGAATGTTCGATAAATGGAACCAAACTTTCATATTATTATCTTTTTTCATGTTTCTGAATCATTTGTGACGCCATACTTCTTCGTCCTCAATTCCGTAAATTACAATAAAAAGTAAATAAATAATTCTCAGAAGATTTTCCTCATGAGTAACTTTGTATTAAAGTTGACGTACTTATATTGATGAAAACTGTAGGATGAAATTCGTTGTAGCTTTATAATTGATTACTGAGATAAGAAATAAGTACTAAAAAAATATCGAAATTATTATTGTAAGACCACCACAATTAGTATTGTTCTATCAGAGACATTGTAAAACAGACTTTTTTTACTCTTTGAGTACCGTCATTCTAGACACAATTAAAGAACAATAGGTTGCGGTCACTGGTGACCGCTCGGTGTTTGTTTAAAGAGTAACGAATGGAATTTCTTGCTCGTTCTTCTCCATTCGAATCTACATTTTGGAACGAGCACCTAGCTTCACTGACGGACACACTGACAGACTATTATTTATTTTGTATTTGTTGACGTTTCAAAAGTACCAAAATATGGTTTAATTGAAATAAATGCTTTGACTTTGACCTAAAACTGTTACTAGCTATCTATAAGGAAACGTGTGCAGTCACAATCCTTTAACCTTTCGTTGACCTAACTGCGATCCCCATACTTACCGCTTCATAAGCGCGGGGATTATTAACTACAAACTTCATAACAGTTATGTTATGGTATGTGTTAACATACCATAACATCACACCTTTTACCCCCCCAAGGGGTAGGCTTAGGTGCACATTACGGCACTCCACTGTACAACGTAACACCCACTTTTCCCTATTTATGTTTGACTCCCATGTAATAGAGGGTGAGCCTATTGCCATATACCGGGCACAATTCTAGGCTCCGTGCTACTACTTTTTTTTTTTTTTTTTTTTTCTCCTTTCTGCACTATGGCAATCTGTTCGAAAACAATAAGCCACTTATTTGGTTGGAGCTACATGTCCTGGTGATTTTAATGGTTTTCTTCGAGGGCCAATCAATTGCTGAACTATCCAGCAAACCCTCCTTTTGGCTCAGTTAACAAATCTTTGGGCGAGTCTGGGAATGTCTTGTCTCTTTAGTCGGTTATAATGTAGTCCACCCTCTCCACTTAAGGCCTGTGCGAGTTCGTTTGCATGGGTTGCTAATTTCTCCTGGTATTTTTGGCTAGCCTGGACTATTTCCTCACGAACAGTGTTTATGCCTAGGTCGAGATACATGTATTTGTTGCTAATACATTGCGGTATCCTGAATATTAATCTTAGCACTTTACTTTGGAATCTTTCCAGTATGTCGATGTTATTCCTGCTAGCTGTTCCCCATAGCT